ATGCTCTCGACCATGTCCCGGTTCTTCGACCCCGCCTTGAAGCGACTCGACGGTCACGACACTGACATCCAGAAACTCCAGCACGACCAGCACATCATGGCCCAGGAGAACGAGCGCCTCAAGAAGTGCGTGGACGAGATCAAGGCGTCCCTGGCCATCGCCGAACGCCAGCTCTCGGCCGCAGATTTGGCGCGCCTGGCGGAGTACGACCGCGACGCCGCCGACCCGTGCATGTTCGCTGCTGGCTCGCCCCAGCTCCTGGCCCCCGACGCGGTGAGGGCGAGCCTCCGTGAATGGATCTCCGACTCGGGCGTGGGCGCGGAAGACGTCGAGCTCGTGGGCCCCGCGGTCCCCGCCAAACGCTGCTTCCTCCACGTCCGCGGCGGGCCTGCGGCAGCCCCTCGGGCCGTCGCCCTCGCGAGAGCGCTGCGGCGGCCCGGCGGGCAATGGCGCTCCTTCTCCGCCGCCGCGCCTGCGGGCCAGCAGTGTGCAGTCTACGTCGGGGTTGACAAAGCACCCGGGCAGTTCAGGAGGGAGATGCGTACGAAGCGGGCTCTTGCACTCCTTACCGAGATGTACCGGCGGGCCGCCTCGTCTGCGAATCGCTCGCAAGGCCTCGTCAGCCGCAACTCTGTGCCCGGCGTCGAGCTCGTGCCTCCGGGCTACGATGAGCCGAGCAAGCTCTTCTGAGACCCCTCGGCGGACACACAGGGGATCGACAAAGCGGCGGGCGCCCTCGGCGGTGGACACATCGACATGGTCGTCATCCTAACGGGCGCTGGTGCCCTTGGCTGCTGGGCGATGCGCAGTCCTTCTCCAGTACATTCGGCCTCCGGGTGGCATCCTGGAATGCTCGTGGGCTCATGTGCCACCGCGGCCACCAGCGGCGTGGTAAGTGGGCCCGCCTGGAGCAGTTGATGCGCCGAGGCGCTGTGATCCTGCTTCAAGAAGTTCACGGTCGGGAGCCTGCAATCCGAGCAGTCCTCAGACAGTGCCCCTATCAGTATCGCCTCTTCTTCTCTGCTGGGGCCACGCCCGGCTCAGGAGGCGCTTTCTTGGCCCTTTGGCATTCGGAACGGACTCTGGCTGCGATCGACCCCTCTCTGATCCCGACGTTCGACTTCGAGGTGTTGGCTCCGGGGAGGGCCGCCACGCTGCTCATCTCCAACCCTGCCAGGAACCAGTTCCTGAAATTGATGAACCTCCACAATGTTGATTTGCCCCGTTATGAACGGTCTCGCATCCAGACTGTGTGGGACTCCTCCGCCCGCTGGGCACAGCAGGCGGAGCTGCGTCGTTTGTCTGCCGCGATCGGCGACTTCGACATAAGCGACCATGAACCAGTTCGACACCTTCGTCCCCGACCTGCTCGGGCCCGAGTGCACCGCCCGGCGCCCGCCGCATCCGAGGATGCATCGCCCGATGGTTCAGAGGGTTCCGGCGACGGCCTCCCGGAACGTTCTGACGCTCAAGCGCTTCCCTTCGCTCCTCGGGAAGTCGGCTCTGTGTGGTACCGTGCCCAGGCTGGCCAATCTTTCGCGTCTCTTCCAGGGCCCCATGCCAGAAGTGTGTTGCGGGCTGCCGAGGTGCTTCTCAAAGGCGTCCCAACGCATACATCAACCGTGCAGTCGTTTCACTGCGATCGCCCTGGGCGGTGGAGACGGACATCGCGATGGAGATCTGGCAGGAGGCAGCTGCCTTGTCGGACTGGGGCCTCAGCGACCGCGCCATCGCGCAGCTGACCGTCCGGCCAAAAGCGGAGTCGCCTTGCGACGCGCAGGCCGTGCCAGAGAGCATTTTCAGGCCCCCCCGCTTTGCGAGCCACGTGAAGGCCTTCCTCGACTGCGCCGCTCTGGATGCCCTGGGCACGACGGAACGCTGGGCCCTGGTCAAGACCCTGATGCGCGAAGCGGCCCGCCTCACCCGCAAGGAGCTGCAGCGGCTGCCGCTCGGGGCTGGCTCCGAGGAGGCCGTCGACGGACGGCGAATATCGGTGAGATTTAATGCAAGGGCCATCTGGCGGCAGGACGCGGTCTTGGCCCAGACTATCATTGGCGCTGCGGAGTTCGGGGCCTCCGTTTTGTTCGTCGGTGAGACTGGCGTGGTGTTGCGCGACCCCGAGGCTTTCTTGAACGAGTCGGTGCTCCTCCGCGCTCAGTGGCATGAGCAATTACAGAGCCTCGCGGCCCAGCGCGCGGAGGAGGCGGCCCGGCCTAGCCAATGCGGAAACTTCAGCGCGTTGCCAGCTGGCGCGCGCAGCTATGGCCATACCGCCGACGCTTTCACCTTGCCTGCATTCGCGTGGACTTCCCTGGCCATCAGGGTGAGATTTTACGCGGCGACGCCCCCATGCGAGCAGAGCTCTGCCGCCACTGGGGCCCCGTCGTCCGCGGCAGAGCGGTCGATGAGGCCATGATCGACCAGTGCCTTGGCCAGCGCGTCCCCGACTATGCAGCCTCTCGCTTGCCCACCGCATCGAAAAAGGCGTTGGAGGGGGCCCTCCGGCACGCTAAATCATCGGCGCCTGGCCCTGACCGTCCTCCGGCGTCGGCGTGGCTGCTGGGCGCGGCTCTTGCAGGTGCTCTACTCGGTCATGGTGGGCCTCTGCGCCGGACGCGAGCCGCCGTGGGGCTTCATTTTTTCGGATCTTGCCTTCGTGCCGAAAGGGCGACGAGCTCGCCGACGCGGTTGACGTCATCCGAGGGGCTGGGCAGCTCCGCCCATTGTGCCTGAAAAACACCGACGTCAAGGCCATGGCCACCGCTGCCAGCCACGAGCTGGCAGCGGTCATCGGCGAGAGGGCGCGCCCCGTCCAGCAGGGGTTCATGCGTGGACGGAACTTCCTGAATCACATCGCGGACCATGATGCCTATTGCAGGGCCGCGGGCCACCGCAGTGAGATGGTGCCAGCCTTTGTGTCGATTTCAAGGCGGCGCTCCCTTCGCTGTCACGGCAGTTTCTCCGCCGTGTGGTCCTGAAGCACCAGATCCAGTAGGGCTACAGAGCCCCCGAGGATGCCGTCTACTCCTCCTCCCTCGCTCACCTCAAGGCTGGCCCCCTCCGTGCCCCCATGTTCTTCTCACCTCTGGAGTTGCCCAGGGGTGCCCCCTCTCGGGCACCCTGTGGGCCTTCGCAATGGATCCGTTTTCGAGGCACCTTGAGCAGCAGACGGCCCTGATCCGACACCTCCCAATCGTGCCGCCTCTGAACGGCGCCTGTGCCGACGATGTGGGCTCCACTTTCCCCTCCTTTCACGACCTCCCTCTCCTGCTTCCGCCCTTCGCCGCGGCTGAACAAGTCGCCGCGCTGGAGCTTCAGCCAGCCAGGTGTGTTTTAGTTCCTCTGGGGCAGCGCCTCACGGAAGCCTGCGCCCAGCAAATTCGTTTGCTTGTGCAGACGTTGATCCCGGCGTGGGGTGATTTCAAAATTGCCGGAAGCGCCCCTTTCCTGGGGACTCTGATCGGCCCAGAGGCTGGTCTGGATGACCAATGGGCTGAGACTGTGCGAAAATGGAAGAGCAGGACCAAGGAAACGTCCCTCACCAGAGCTCCCGCGGAGGCCAGCTGTAGATCTATAACACGGGAGCCTTACCAGTGTGCCAGCACCTATCTCAATTCTTTCTCCTCCCCGCTGCTGTGTTTTCTGCTGAGCGTCACGTCCTCCACGGCCTCCTGCGTCTCCCCCCGAACTCTTTCGCGTCAGCGGAATTGTTGAGCCTCGGAAGCTGGCTCCCTTCGGCCACCCCTTCCCCGTTCCGCACGACCGCCGCCGCGGCAGCATGACGGGCAGCACGCCACACTGAAGGCGGGGACGGTGGAGGGGTGGAGGGCCGCTTTAACACAGCTGCATGAACATGCATGGGTGCATGGGCATCTTGCTTCTTTCATCCGAGGTGTTCTGTCGCCTGCGTGGTGGAAAAATCCTGTCAGCATAGCCGGATGCTTTGCTTCGGTTTCCTCCACTCCTCCCATGGGTATCCCCCAGCGCGCCTGGCGACAGAGCGTGGCCGCGGCCCAGATGGAGCTCCGTGCTGCCGAAGCGGACGGCCGCTGCCCCTGGCCTCAGCGAGTGCTCGCTCGGACGCTCCGGCTTTCCTTGCTCCCTGATCTCATGCCCTCCCTCGTTCGTCGTCGCATTTGCTCTTGGCTCCCCCATATCCCTCAACTCCCTGACGATGAGATCAGGCAGCGTTGGGCAGCGCTCCACAGGATTCTGGCGAGAACTCCGCCATCTTTGGCATCGGCCCACCTCAAGACCTTGGCCGGTGCCTGGACCACTTCAGCGCGCCTCCCAGGTATGGCTGAGAGGCCTTGTCTGTTCGGATGCGAGCCTCCTGCGCGTGACGTTTTCAGCCACTATATTTCCTGTCCTCGCCTGCTCCACCTTCTGGCGCTCCCACGTGGCCATTTGCCCGCCTCCCTCATTACTCGCCTCGGATTGGGCATGGAGCCTGATCCAGAGTGAGAGTACCCTCGTGAGCGTTGCATCGGATCAATGTCTTGGCGTTTCACATGTATCATAAACTCAAGGCAGAGTATGATGTGCGAGGGAGCGTCCCCTGCACACCCACATTTCACTACACCATCCAGGCAGCTGCGAAGGCAGCCATTGGCCGCTAGCTCGCTGCCGCGCCGTGCCTCGAACTCATTCGGTACGGTCGCTCCTCCTCCTCCTCCTCCTCCTCCTCCTCCTCCTCCTCCTCCTCCTCCTCCTCCTCTCGCCTTCCTTTTTCTCCTCTTCTCCTTTCCCCCTCCCCTTTTTTCGTTCTCTAGCACCCTAATCCCCTCCTGCTTCCTGCTTCTACTCCCTCCTCCCTCCCTCCTCCCTCCCTCCCCCCCACTCCTCCTGTTCCTCCCCCTGCTGCTCACGGCGTCGTCGTCGTCGTCCTCCTCCTCCTTCTTCTCTTTCTCCTCCTCCTGCTCCTCCATCTTCTTCTCCTCCTCCTCCTCCTCCCCTGTCAGGTCGAGGCTATCGTTGTGACGGAGTTCAAACACCTCGTGGTGCCCTCTATCTAGGGGAGGGTGAGTGGGGCGTGGCGCGGCATGGTACGCGACTGGGCACGGATCTAGCTTTAAGAGTATCATAGGTGGGAGGAGAGGGGTGGGAGCAGGAGGAGGAGGAGGGAGGAGGAGGAGGAGGAGGAGGAAGTGGAGGAGGAGGAGGAGGGGGAGGAGGAGGAGGAAGAGGCGGGGGGATGATGAGGAGGGACGGGAAGGCGGCGGACAATTGCGTAAGGGGAGGAGGAGGGATTAGATATTCTAGCCCGCATGGGCCCCAACCAGTTGGTTTCTAGCAGGATGTGTTGTGCAAACTATTTAGTGCAATCTACGTGGTGCAAAATTAGGTGGTGCAATCGAATTTTGTGCAACTAGTTGTATGCAACCTATGTTCTGCTAGATGTTGTGTGCAATATATGTTGTGCAATCTAGGTTGTGCAGTCTGGTGTTTGCAATATATGCAGTGCAATCTATGTGATGCATTCTATATATCCGGGCTGTGAAATGCATGGTGTGCATCATATGTTGTGCACTCTAGGTGGCGCAATATATGTGGTGCAGTCTATGCTTTGCAATCTTCTGTGTACAGTATATGTTGTGCAACGCCTATGTATATACATATATATATATATATATAGTGCAGTACGTGGTGGGTAACATGTGCTGTGCAGTATAGGTTGTGCAATCGATGTGGTGCAACCTATGTAGTGACACCTATCTGGTGCAATCTAGGTGGTGCAACACATGCAGTGCACCCAATGTGGTGCAATCAGTGCCGTGCAGTATTTGTGATGCAAAATCTGTTGTGCAATGTAGGTTGAAGACTATATGATACCGGAGAAAACTTCAACCAATGTCTTTTTAGGGCCATTCGGCTATAGGGCGATGAGGCTATGGGCCTATAGGGCTATGGAACTATAGGGCCATAGGGCTATAGGTCTATACGTCTACAGGGCTATAGGGCTATAGGGCTATAGGGCCATAGGGCTATAGGACTGTGGGGCTATAGGGCTACGGGGCTCTGGGGCTTTGGGGCTATAGGGCCATACGGCTATAGGGCCATAGGGCTATGAGTCTGTAGGGCTATGGGGCTATAGGGCTATAGGACCATAGGGCTATAGGGATATAGGGCTATGGGGCTGTATGGCTATAGGGCAATCGGGGTATTGGGCTATTGAGCTATGGGGCTATAGGGCTATAAGGCTATAACGCTGTAGGGCTAAGGGGGTTAGGCCTATAGGGCTGTACGGCTATAGGGCTTTCGGGCTTTAAGGCACCCGGGCACCCGGGCACGCCTGGCCACCCGGGCACCCGGGCTTCCGGGCACCCGGGCACCGGGGCGGGCCGCGGAAATCGGTGACGCACCTCACCTAACCATATGAATCCGCCAGAACCCGTACAGAGGCAAGTTATGATTGGGGAAATGTTTTGCAATCTATGAGACGCAACCTATTTGATGCAATCTATGTGATGCAAAATCTATGAGACGCAACCTATTTGATGCAATCTATGTGATGCAATTCGTCGGTGAAGCAATCGATGTTGTGCAGTCTCTCTGGCGCAACCTATAGGATACCGGGGACAAACCCCAATCAGAGTTTTTTTTTTGATATGAAAGGAGATAGGGCTATAGGGCTATAGGGCTATACGGCTATAGGGCTATAGGGCTATTGAGCTATAGGGCTATAGGGCTATAGGGCTATAGGGCTAAAGAGCTGTAGGGCTATAGGGCTATAGGGCTATAGGGCTATATGGCACCCCCGGGCATCCGGGCACCCCCCGGGCACGCCCGGGCACCCGGGCACCCGCCTGGGCATCTGGGCACCCAGGCATCCCGGGGCACCCGGGCACCCGGGCGTTCAGCGAAAATCGGCGGCAAACCTAACCTAACCATATGAATCCGCGAGGACCCCTACAGAGGCAAGCTCTGATTGGGGAATATATATATATATGTGTATATGTAGTGCAGCCTGCTGTGTACAATCTATATGGGGCAATCTATGCTGTGCAGCATGTTGTGTGCAATAATGTTGTGAATTCTGTATTGTGCAACATGTGTGGTGCAATCTGCGTAGTGCAATTAACTTCTGTTCGCAGTGAGTTGTCCACTCCACTGCTCGCGCAAACATCCCACCCACCCACCCGCAACTTGGTTTGCAAACCTCATGCAGTGGAGATGGCGATGAGTGCTTGGCGCTGGCTGGTGCATCTCTGCGGCCGCGCCAGCCCGCGCATGCGCGCGCGCAGCGGCCAGGTAGTTTGGTGTGACCGACGAGGCCGCTGTGGTGCTGACCGCTCGGCACATCCCAGCGGGCACTTGAGTGCGAGTCGGCGGCTTGGGCGGGTGCGGTATCATGGCAACGTCGACAACTGTAGACGCGATGACGATGATAGTGGCGATGTTGGTGACGACAACTGTATACATGATGATGATAGTGGCGATGACGGTGCAGATGCCGATCACGCCGACGACGATGACGGCGTCTTTGCGTCGGTGCGGTGATGAAGGTTTTGGAGGGAATTCGACATGCGCGCGCGACAGACGCGCGATATTGGCTCGCGTGGTATTTTTTTGACACGGATCGTGCCACCCCGTGCCACCCCAGCACGCGCGCAAGGGCGTTCGAACGATTTCGACATGCGCGCGCGCGAAGCCCATGTGGTATCATTGTATGGAAAGTTTTGAACACCTTATGGTTTCCTTACGAAATCGCAAGAGCGCGCGCACGCTTTTGTTGAACATCCGTTTTGCGAAGCCCTATGTTATTGCAGGTTTTTTTTTGGCACCCGATTTTGAAATCCTTCCGAGACCGAAGGTTTTTGAAAGATTTCGGCATGTGCGCGCGACGACGCGCGCGTGTGCACTTCGTCCTGGTTTTTTGCAAAAGGTTTTCGCGACGGCACGCGCGCAAGGGCGTCGGAACGATTTCGACATGCGCGCGCGTGAAGACCGTTTGGTAGCGTTTTATGAAAAAAAGGTTGAACAACTTATTGTTTCCTTAAGAATTCGCAAGAGCGCGCACGCACGCTTTTGTTGAAACTTAGTGTTGCGAAGCCTGGTGTTTTTGTATTTTCTTGGACACTTGATTTTGAATTCCCTCCAGAACCGAAGGTTTTTGAAGGATTCCGACCAGGATTCTGGAAAATTTATGACTTTTGATAAACGAGTGTGCGCGCGAATTTTTTTTGCGCAGAGGATGGCGGGGGGTTTCGATGCCGGCCTGGCTGGGACAGTATGAACTCGCAGGTCGGATGGTCATTGGGTCAGAACCATCTGTGTTTTACATCGGTTTCTGGGGGTTGGATAAGTCGGGGGGGGGGAGGGTGGTAGAACCTATTGTTTGTTAAAGAGGATAATACAGATGGTACGCAATGCTGTGCGATCTAGGTTAAGGAACATATGTAATGCAGTGCGTTTGGTGCAGTCTGTATTGTGCTATATCTGTTGTGCAATTCGCGCTATGCAACCTAACGGTGGCGACGAGCGGCGACGGGGCGGCGACGGGGCGGCGACGGCGACAACATAGCCGCCAGACCGACAGACAGGTTCAGTTACGGGCAGCGACGGGGTGGCGACGGGGTGGCGACGGCGGCAACATAGCCGCCACTCCGACAGACACGCCCAGTTCGTTAGCAGGGAAATGAGAACCCTAAAGTGCAAACGCTGCTTGATATATATATATATATACATTTATTCATATATATATATATATATATATGCACACATTGCTTGCAACACATATAGGTATGTATGTATGCATGCATGCACGTGTGCATGTTTGTATGTTTGTATGCATGTATGCATGCATGTATGTATATAGGAGACAAGGATATATTGAAAGAGAGAAAGAGAGAGAGAGAGAGAGAGAGAGAGAGAAAGAGAGAGAGAGAGACAAATAGTGAGTGATAACGAGAGAGAGAGAGAGAGACAGCGATAGAGAGAGAGAGGGAGAGAGAGAGAGAGCGACAGAGAAGGAGGGAGGAAACACACATATATATATATATCTACATACATACATATATATATACATACGTATGTTTCTATCTGTATCTATATCTATATATGGGGAAAGCAAGGTATATACATAGAGAGAGAGAGAGAAACATAGAGAAACAATAACAAAGAGAGAGAGAGAGAGAGAAAGCGAAAGAGGGATAGAGAGAGAGAGAGAGAGAGAGAAGGAGGAATGTATAGAAAAACGGAGAGGGGAGAAACGGAGGGAGGGAGAGGAAGAGAGAGAGAGAGAGAGAGAAAGAAATATATATATTTATATATAGAGAGAGAGAGAGAGATAGAGAGAGAGAGAGAGAGAGAGAGAAAGAGAGAGAGAGAGAGAGAGGGAGATAGATAGAAAGAGCGCGCGGCATTGACAGGGTTTGTCGGGGCGCCAGCGGTGCCCAGCTCTTCGTACCTTCAGCGTCAAAACGCTCACGATTCGCGGGGGCTGCTGCCCCGGAGGTGCGCGGTGACTTCGACCCCGCGGCCGCGGCGCCCTGCGCAGACCGCCTCCCCCCCCCGCCCCCCTGGGGGGCGAGGGCGCGGCCCGCCGGGCTGCCCGACGCGCCGCGCGGCAAAGCCCTCAGGAGCAAGCAGGCCTCGCGAGCTGGCGCCGCCAGAGGGCCGTGCCCCCCGCGTGGGCCTGGGCGCAGCGGAAGGAAAGGGCCCCCCCGCCGTGAGGTTCCCCTCGCGGCGGGCGGTGCCAATCAACGGGGCGCCAGGGCGGGCCCGATGGCCCCGAAACGTGCGAGGGCCCGCCAGCACCCTCGGGGCCGCTGGGGGGGCACTCCCCTGCCAGGCTGGGGAGGGTGGCAGGATGGAGGGGGAGGGGAGAAGAGAGGGAAGGAGGAGGGGTCAGGACGATGATGATGATGATGATGATGATGATGATGATGATGATGATGATGATGATGATGATGATGATGATGATGATGATGATGATGATGATGATGATGATGATGATGATGATGATGAATGATGATGATGATGATGATGATGATGATGA